TTCGTTGTGAAAGCGAAACTACTTTGTTTGGTCTTCCAAAAGAGGACGATATCGCTTCGTCATGCCTAGAGCTGATCTGTGCTGGTCACTGAGGAAATACTACAACTTTGTGCTGTCAATCGCCGGATCGGCTTTCACCGTGGACGAAGCGGAGTCCAGCCCGGGGTCGTCACATGTGGTTGCCGCAGGCATCACAATATGGTAAGGAACGTAACATTTCCATTACACGCTTGAGGTATTCGGCCAATCACAACACACTGGATAGCTGGCTAATCAGAGCACACCTCGCTTTTTCAGACCGATGAGCTTTGTAAAAATCGACTTGTTTCAGAAAGGCGGGGCACAGAGGAGAAACAATAATGTACAGTATGTGGAAAATAATGAGTTTTTTTAACCTTAAACCGCATAAACACATTTCATTACACCATATACACAAAATAATGTTCTTTTTAGCAGCATCATATGACCCCTTTAAAGCGAAACTGAAAGCAAACACTGTTGTTCTCACGCAGCCTTCCTCTCTCATTCGGCATGAATCCAAATATTTCCATATTCGCGATGTATTTGAATGCTAATCTATTTTTATTTTGTAAACCATGCTTTGTATTTAACACACTTTTTTTTTTATTCACCAGTGTATCTAGTGTATCTATATGTTTGGTTGACTGTGTTTTATTCTGATAATGAACAGGCTGCAACGTTTGCAATGCTGTATGTGTGTGCATGAGGCGCCGGCGCGATCGAACAGCGGAAACATACTCCGTAATTTTTGGTCATACAGATCATTTGAAACTGCAATGTGTTTACATTTTATTTTAGGATGCACTTTCTGTCATCTCGGTTTTCTTTCGCTGTTGTGTGCACTACAACAGATTGGTGACAGGGGGTCACACATTGCACAACTTTTCAATAGGAAGAATCAGCAACAATTTTGTCTGGTCTACAAACTACACAACCAAACATATGCAATAAGTGATGCAGGAAATAATGTAAGATCATGTGTGGGACAGGAGTTCTTGCACAAGACTGGATTTTTTCCTGTTAGAAATTGAAGCCCGCCAGAAGCTTGCAATACAAGTTGTTTGTATTGCAGACAAGGAAAATAGGAACGAGGGATGGCTGCTGATGTTTTGTTGCAGATCTATGGCCCCACCCCCTTGCCATGTACATTGCTCTATCATTGGCTGTAGGTCGTCTCGCCGGTGTCATTTTCAGTTCAAACACATTTCAAACTGGGGCTTTCTGGGGGGTATTCCATAAAGCAGGTTATGTGACATACCTGGGTATGTTTGAGGATAAGTGAGCGAATAACCTCAGCTTTCAGTTCCAAAATCGGAGGTTACTTTCAGGGTATGTAAGTAACCATAGTAACTTGCTCTCTGAAGATAACCTGCTCCGGAGCAGGTTATGTTCCAGGGTTAGTTCACTTCAGCGCACGTGTGATCTACTGATGAGCCTTCAGTGGGCGTGACAGATAGCGCACAACATTATATAATATTACAATATGTAATATAGCCTATTATATATATGATATGTTAATGATGAAGCACTAATATAAGTAATAAATTAGGTAATATATTATTCTAATATGGTTATTATTTATTTTATTGGCCTATATAACAGCTATCTGTATAAATTATAAAACACTATGGCAAGGTAATGTTTAATTTATTATATATTTATTTATTACATTTTATATTATCTCACACATGGATCGGCATTTTCTATAATGTCTAAATTCTAAATCAAAATACATATCTGATATGACTTAATATATAATTAGCATCAAACAAACAATATAATTAATATCCTCAAGGATTAAAGATTAAACGGAAAAAATTATTGCACAACCATCAATTAGGTGGCGATATGCACCAAGCATGTAAACGACCATTGAACATAGGAAGAAGAAAGAAACAGCATGGGGCGCTTTTTCTTAACATCCGTTTCCATAGTGACTCGTCGATTCATCGCTCTGTTGAGAATGTCTTGAGTCTTAACCAGGAACATACTCTGAGTTGAATGAACTTACTTTCTGAAAAATGAAAGTCATATACACCTAGGATGCCTCGAGGCTAATTTTCATTTTTTGGGTAAACTAACTTATCATTTAAGATTTAATATCAATTTTGCACCCGCAATTAATGTTAAAAAAATATTAAAATTGCAACAAACCACCATTATTGTGATCAGTGTGTGCTTATCTTAAGTCGTTCAAAATGTTGAAATCGATCTTTCATTACGGTTGTAAATGTCCTGTTTCACATATGCAAAGATACTGTAGCAAAATATACAGAAATATTTAGACATCTACACTTATCATACAAACCTCAACAATGGTGACAAGTCAGCACCGTAACAGAATACTCGGCCACACAAGGATCCAGCAGCTTCTCGGATGAATGTTGGCCAGGTATGGATACGGCAAGAATATTGTTAGCCCTTAGACAGGGCACACGGTTGCTGGAAGGCTATATTCAAGAATATTTAGCCATTGCTCATTATTCAGATCTGCCGGACTGTGTACTGTTAGGCTTTTTTTGTGATGGAGTAAATTAACCATTAAAGTCACGATTAACCCGTGAGGGTCCCCTTTCTTCTCTAAGCAATTTTTTGGATTTTGCCCTGCTATGTGTCGACTCCGTGTTCACGGTGGGTGTTGCGGAGAAACATGACACCGAGTCCGCTTGTGTAATGGCGGCCGCACTAGAGAACACTCACAAAATGGCGGACACAACAGCGCCCCATTATGTCACAGCTGATCTTCATGAGTCAGGTCATGTCACCGTTG